GTTCTAATACAAGATTCACAATTATTTTCTTGCATCTTTTCATTAATTATAATTATGTATACACTTACTAAGTAGAATTCTCCTTTCTGTGTTGCGAAAGAAAGGGGCCGAAACCCCTTACGCCATCCACAGTATTTTTGCACATAAATCCTATTCGCGTTATTTATGAAAATATATTTAGCTGATTCTATGCATAAAGCTCACAAGTATTCAAAAAATGTTCATAAAAATTTTTAAATTTTTATTCAGAATTTCTAGAAAATTTTCGATTATTCAGTTTTGTAGCCCGTACAATTTAAGTAAAACAAAGTACAAGTTTCAAGTCGCTAAAAATTATCGTTAATTTTTTAGATTTTTGTATTTTTTGTTGTGGAGTATGTTGGGCGTTTTCCTCCATAAAACGCACGATCAAAATCTTTGTTTATATGGAAGAAAATGTGCAACACCCTCCCAAAAAAAATTCGAAAAAAAATTTCTAGAAATTCTGTATAAAATTTTGGAAATTTTTACGAAAATATTTTGAATTTTAGTGAACTTTATACAAAGTGTGAAACTTTCATTCAAAAAATTGTGAATACTAACATTTGCCATTGACTGTACATAAGTATGTGCATATTAGGAAAGTTAATCCCGGGATCTCGGCCTTTTAATTAAAGTAAAATTGCGTTTTTAGTTTTTCAATCTGACGTCAGTAATTCAAAAATTATTTAAAAAATTCAGTGAAATTTGCTTCCAGAAGAAGCATGGGTATAACTAAAATTAGAGAGAAGATTTTGTAGAATTTAGACGGATTAAATTTTTTTGTGCATAAGGACTGGTAAGCACTGAAAATGTCCTTTTAAAATTTAATCCTTGGAATTTCGCAGTATTTGTTTTTGACAAAATTACATTTTAAGGACTTATATAAACTCGATAACATCCTCGAATTTCGTCCTTATAACTTTATCAGCTTACAAAATTACCTATTCATCCTTGTTAATGCAACAAATTTTAATTATTTAAAATTCTAAATAAATTTCATCTTTCACTTGGTACGCATACTTTTATTCTAAATTGCACTGAATTTTTATAATAACTTTTGGAATTAATCATATCTTTGAAATGACAAAGTCCTTTAAAATAAGTCCTTATGGCACGGAGAAAAATAAAAACGCCCCTTTAAATAAAAAAGTAGATTTCAAACTCATTTATTTATTATTTATTTTATGGTAGNACCCCTGCACTTTATACAAAGTGTGAAACTTTCATTTGTATGGTTTATATTATAGAATAAACTATATTTTCATAAATAATTAATGAAAAAAACCATTTTCATGAAAAAAAAAAAATTGTGTATACTAACATTTGCCACTGACTGTACATAAGTATGTGCATATTAGGAATTTTAATCCCGGGATCTCGGCTTTTTTAGGTCCCGAAAATCCCAGGATTCTTGGCAAATAATATCGGGATTTTCGGTGTTTGTAATTTGCACTGATGGCAATAATAAATATTCATTTTCTTCACCAGTATTGGCTATATTTCCTTTTTTTAATAATTAATATTTTTTTATAAATGTCTAGCTCATTATAAATACATATAACGTGCGATGGTAAATTTTACCATAGGCGTTTTTAGTTTTTCACTCTCACGGCAGTGATTTAAAAAACTTAGTGAAATTTGCTTAAGGAAGAAGTATGGGTATAAAATTAAAGAGGAAATTTTGTAGAATTTAAGCGGATTCAATTTTTTGGTGCATAAGGACTGGTAAGCACTGAAAATGTCCTTTTAAAATTTAATCCTTGAAATTTCGCGATATTTGTTTTTGACAAAATTACATTTTAAGGACTTATATAAACTCGATAACATCCTCGAATTTCATCCTTATAACTTTATCAGCTTACAAAATTACCTACTCATCCTTGTTAATGCAACAAATTTTATTTATCCTTTTAATTCTAAAGAAATTTCCTCGTTCATTTGGTACCCATATTTATATTCTAAATTGCACTGAATTTTTAAAATAATTTTTGGAATTAATCATGTCTTTGAAATGACAAAGTCCTTTAAAATAAATTCTCATGTCACGGAGAAAAATAAAAACGCCCCATTAAATAAAAAAGTAGATTTCAAGCCCATTTATTTATTATTTATTTCATGGTAGGAGAGCTTCTCAAACAATATAGAGGCAATTTTTTCGATTTAAGTTGTTAAAAATTAATTAATATCTAAATCCCGGTACTAATCCCGAGATCCCGAGATTGTGATAACTAAATCCCGAAAATCCCGGGATCGAAAAATTAACATCCCTAGTGCACATGCACATACGCAATCGTTGTTCAAGCCGCACGTGTTATCCGTATGAATGCAATACATTGTTCATGATTTTGCTAATTCATGTAGCTGCAATTTTTTTTTACAGATTTGTTGAAGCTACGTGGCTACTCTTCAGTGAAATTTAAATAAATTATGTACGTAAGTACGTAAATGTAAATGAATATGAAATTTAATTAAGAGCAGAGGGCCTTTGGTATTTACACATTTCTAGCCTTTAGTTATAACTTTTTTAAGGAAATTAACTACTATAGTTAATGAGTATCCCGTTCACAATTTCAGGGAATTTCTTGCTTTGCTTAAACGAAAATATTGATTGTAGTAAAGTTGAAAGGCCGACATAACTACTGTATTTCAATTATA